ACAAAGTTGTTAATTACTCTTGACATCGTTATATACGGACATATTAACGTGCGCACCGTACAACAATAATGGAGCTGTGCTTGCCTCGGTCGCGAAGTAATGATGTCATAATAATTTCATAATAAATCCCCTCGGTTCTCTCTCCTTGTACACACAATAACCCGACGCCTAACCGCGAAGTTAAGTGTAACAAGCGCATAAAACGGCCGTCATCAATTTCGGACCGTGGCCGCTTTTCCATGTCTTTTTCGGGCAGCAGCCAAACAGAGTTTAAGTATTCCGTTAATTAATAGGGGTGAACAGCTTCCACAAACACCGTTGATAAAAGGGACGAGCTGCGGTCCCGTTGTTCAAGTGTGCGCTTCGACTCATTGCCAATGATGTAATAATAATACTTCCAGACCAATGAACACACAGAACGCAGCGCACTCGAGTAATAAAAAAAAAATTAAAATATACATAACTCATGAAGCTTATTAATTGCCTGGCATTTTTATTCGATTTCTTTGGTGGGGACGGTGAGTCGGTTGTTTTTTTATTTAAACAAACACAGTCGAACACAGTTGCCCATCGCAACAAAATATAACAATTATTTGCGTGTGCGTTTCACCCCATTTCTATGCCAAAGGGTTGACTGCAGATTTCTTGTATATGCTGCTAATATGTACCACCATAAATCACCGAAAGACCGGTTATTTTAATATTAATATGTACATATTGTTTTCAAGGATTGCTGTGGTTTTATTTTTTGCATCCAGTAAGTGTGAGTTGTTAGTATTTTATACACCGCGCGTTGGCAGGACATTCTAATTATTACCATCATATGCATATCAATTATTAACGCTACAATAGTTTACAATGTGTATTGACAGCTAACACGCGTTACAGCCATTGCGAGAGAAAGACAAACTAATACGATTGATGTGTAATTGCAACAGACACGACCATGTTAGTTTTGCGTCATTAAGTTTGTACAATGATAGAAATGAGTACATAACTATTGTTACAGATTGATAAATTCAATTGTCGTTAACGGAGTCTAATATTATGGTTAGACATAATTGAAACGCCACTTTTTTAAACTTTCTATATACATTTTTTTTAGAAATTCATTCTTATGAATAATTGATATTATTGAAAATAGTTTAAAGAATATATCAATGTGTAACAATATATTTAACTTGGGAGTATTGGCAAAGTAAAGAAAAACAAAAATTACACGTTCATATAACAAGATAGATTTAATAATTTGTTTAAACATTATATATTTTTAAACTATAGTAACTTAAAATAGTTATTCTTTTTTTAAATAAACACCAGAGGTGTTTAAAATATGCTACCTTAAGCACCGTTGTTCTTAGCGAATTATTATGCGTTAAAAATAATTCTCGACTATTTTACATCATTTCATAAAAATGTTTGTAGTTTTAATTAACTACACTTTTAATATTAAAATTTAATAAATAATTATTTAGAAAGACAAAAATAGTTCTATTTGTCTTTGATATTCGATAAAAATTTTTGCCCCTTTTTACATATTCTTTATACATTTTTAATGAAATTACCCAAAAATAAAGCGGAAATAATTTATTATTAACTTTAAAACATATATTTTTATATGCTTCATAAAAAGTTATCTTTAAAAATCATTGCTACTCTTTTTACTCTAGAACAAATTTAAAAACTGATATCAAATTTGAGATCAGTAGCCTTCAAAACAAAATTAATAGAAACTTTCAACATTTTGTTTGTTTTAAATTAAAAGATGTAATTTAAGATCAATTGATTTCAGATAATTGTGCGCCGAAGCAATGAGGTTAATAGAGATATGTTTTTTACTTGCAATTTGTTTTTTATTACAATAAATGTAAAAAAGAAAAAACCGTGTATATTGATCTTCCTAATACTTTTCTCTATTAAGATACTGAATTAGCACTAAAAATACGAGATAAGCAAATAGCACTTAGACTTCTGAATTTGCAATAATATGTAACAAAATTTTGTATTTATCTTATTGGTTTCTTAAACAAATTTATAGCTTATGTAGGCATCCCTAGGACTTGTCAATAAAATAATATATGTGTAAATGTTAGAAATAATGACCACTAATTATTACAGTTGCGTAAACCCATTTTTAGATAAATTATATTTCGGAAAAGATTGTTTTATAGTTTTTTAAAAAAACCCTGCGTACACCATTTGTATCTATAATTCTCAACCAAAATCGTGAAATATTTGTTAAAAATTACCAAGATATGGTTAATACACAAAGTGATTCATTAAGAATAAGACAGTCGTTTACTTGGAAACTACTAAAAACTTTATCAATACAAATTATCTATAGAAAAATGGTTATAAATTGCTATACGCAATATCATAAGAATGTTTTATCTGATAAAAAATATAATAAGAACAAAACTGTTTAAAATTTTATTCTATCATACCATCAAACTAAAAATAAGGGTTCTCGCTAAAGAAAATTAAAATTTAAGTTAATATTCTTGAAGGAAAATAAAACATATAAATACATATTTTTGTAGAGTTTTTTTAATCAAAAAATATTTTCCTTCGCAAAAATTAAAAGTTTTTAATAGCTTCCAAGAAAATGTCTTACCTCGATAAATAACCTGTGTGGTATTGTAGGGATTAATAGAATAAAAGGTAAACATGGTAAAAAGGTTGAAAAACACTGATCTACAAAAAATTCATGGTATTCAATATAAATTTTACCACCTACGGCAACTGAATACACTATTCTTACCCTTAAATTTATATAAAATAAACATATACATAAATTTGAACATTGTTATTTTTACGAGTAGTTGAATGTATTTTGCGAATCATATATTGTAACTAAAAATAAAGTAGGTTGGGATGTTATTAACAAAGAAGAATGATAATAGCAACATCCGTAAAGACATAATAAATAAAAGTACTTTGTTTCTAGTTATTACTTGATTAGTGTAGTTAGTATGTTGAAACTAGTCTTACCTGGTATATCTTGGCTGCAAATCAAGTTCCACGGTATAGAGAAGAGAAGAAGTACTTTTGGCTTATTAGATATTAAATAGGAAAGACAGATTATTACATAATCGTATATTATAAACAATTAAATAGTTATTAAACAAGAACGCATTTTAAATTATACTATAGAGTTATATTAAAAAGGAAGACACCAAGTCACAATACGAGTATTAGAAAATAAGTAAAAACTGCAAAATGAAAGAAGGAGCAAAGCTAACTACTTAAGTGTGATCGCCAGAAGAGAAAAAATGAGAGTGAGTGTCCGACGGATATCAAAGGACGGACCAGAACCCAGAGGGCTCTTAAGTCTGTAATAATTAATTGAAGCAATAAAAATTTTATGTGATAATATTAAAAGAAAGGTGTGCTTTACAAGTGATACAGGGGGTGATTTGAATTCCATCATTGTTTGTTTAGGATATGTATGAGGTCATTTATGGCTTTATTCGGCAAGGATTATGTAAACAAAATTAATCACGTATAAGCGTCATCAGTACATCTCTGCTAAGCATAGGTGAAATGTATTGATTTCATTAAGTAATATAAAAGAATATTACAACATGTAATAATTTAAATAATTCTTTATATTCTAATAGTTAAAGCTAAAGAAAAATATAAATAATCTTAATTCTTCTGTACTATTAAATAAAATAAATACTCGCCTTAAAGTTCAATTTATGTTATAGATAAAATTGATGCATCGCTGAAAAAACATGGTTGTTCAGGAAAATCAAAAAGAGTAAGAACAATTTTCACTCCTGAACAGCTGGAAAGGCTTGAAATGGAGTTTGAACGTCAACAATATATGGTGGGTCCTGAAAGGTTGTATTTGGCACATACTTTACAGCTGACTGAAGCACAAGTAAGTAATTCACTAATACAAAATACTATGCGCATTATGTCGCTTAATTTATCCAAAAAACAAGAACCGCTATAATCATTTCATTTATGTTACAATAATTCATCAGTCTATAAGTAAATGGCTTAATTTTCTGTAAAATAGGTTAAAGTTTGGTTCCAAAATCGTCGCATCAAGTGGAGAAAACAACATTTAGAGATACAACAACAAAGGTTAGCTAATATACATCAGAGAAATACACACGAAATTGTACAGGAGTGCGAAGATGATGACGATTCAGAAACAGATACAAACAATTGTTCGTTTTACTCTTAATCGTTAGATAGAGGTAATCGTTCTTCTTATACTATATTGTAAATTCATCTACATCTGTGTAAAGTATGAAAAATAATATGTGATCATTAAGTTGCAAGTCCACATGAAAACATTTATTAAAAAGAATGGGTTGAAAAGGTAATTATGCCGCCAAAAGAAATATTTCATTAGTTGGTATATTCATATTTGTGGTTGTCAACTGAATAGAAATACTAGAAATAGTTTTATACCTTCATACAAATTTTGAATTAATCTTTCAAACTTGGAAAGTAACAACGAAAACAGCCTCCCCTTTTGAAATACATTTCAGGTAAAGTGCACGGTATAATTGTCTCCGAAATGTATTATTTGATCCTAAACACTTCTATCATCTTTTATTGTACCTATTGTATAAAATTATGTAAATACTATTTATTTGATGAAAGTTAAAGTTAAATTATTTTATCAAAAGTTATTTAATAAAAGCTTAATCGTGTAGAATTATTGTCTAAAAATTATGTAAAAATTAGATAATAAGAATCTGGTGATTATTATCATTACCAAACACTTTGATTATTATTAATGTTTATGTATTTATGTATTACTTTTCCTAAAAATGTAAATAAATTATTTATTTTGTATATAATACAAACAGACAAAAATATACATATTATGTGTTAAATAAACTAAGTGTTTTGTCTACATTTTAAATTCGATGCAGGCCATTGAAGGTATTGGATTTCTCAAATATGTACTTATTTTTAACTTTAGAAGAGTAAAATTTTAGTATCTAGCGGAACACCAGAATAAGCTACACCAAAATACCTTGAATTATATTAAGCTAAATCTATTGGTTTAAAAAAAAAATTTAACATTTATACTATAAAATAGCCCAAAAACTTTTGTAGTCAATGAAAAACCTACAATTTTTTTGAACGGCTAAAAATTATTATAACTTATTTTTAAGCACTTATTAGTACGATATATTTTTTAGTATATGTTGTTATTGTAGATCCAACCATAAGAGGATTTACAATTTCAACACGATTCAGGTAAGTTTTGGATGTTTTATATAAGAATATAAACTTTTTCTGATGGAACAGCTTTCATTTGTTTCCCGTACACAATATAGTACAACAATAGCCGACAAAAAAGTTTCTTTTTGTATACTAAAAATAATATTTATATTACTATGCACAAAACAGTCGCAATAAAAAGTCAATTTCAGTTTACCGACAATATTACGAGAATAAAGCGGAATAATCGTTGTAACGATTGTGGCACGATAATATTGCACAAGTAGGGCGGAATGATGTAAGGGATGCAAATGTACAGAAAATCAGGCAGGTACTTTGTAAGAGACAAATGACAGACGCAATTTTTCCAACCCCGGAGACATCTCCGCCTTCAACTCCGCCGACCAGTCGCATAAAAAAGACGTTTGAGTTTGTAAGTGGCTATCGACCGCTGATGCAGAAGAGGGTTAAGGGACCGCTGTTATTATGATATACATGTAGTTTTTTATATTTGAAAGAACGCGATATTTTTATTTTATTCTTTCTTTGATAATTCCGCTGGCTTACAATATTGTAC